AAAATTTAACATTTAACCAAAAAAAAAAGAAAAATAAAACAGATGAACGTATATCAGTAGATAATTAACTCATTTTTCATTATGCATAGAAATGTTTTTGATTTTAAATGAAAACAAAAAAAGCATGTGAAGGGTATTTTAGTAACTGACAAACTGTTGAAGAGAGATAGCTGTTTAATGACTTGTTCTCCAAGTTGGTATAGTGCAAGAGCTCGTTAAGTATAAAAAGGGGAGCTGGCAAGGAAACACATTTCAGACGCTTTATTTTTGTTTTTCAAGGATTTGGGCGGAAAGAGATAGAAGAGATCGCTCTAAGGTTTCATTTGCGCTCAACACAACTCATTAATTAAGGTAATGATTACCTAGTGTGTTAATAATCTATCTGAATCATTACTTCATCTTAATTTCATAATCATCATTTAATACTTCGTTCAAGCAAGCCCTATATTGACTAAGATCCACTAATTAATGTAGATGCAGGACTACGAGTAGTAGGTATCCATTAAGGATCCAAAAAAAAAAAATTAGAAGTTAAATAGTTAAGATGAAAGGAATTAATGGCACAAATATGAATGAGATATATTTGATGCTTATTAATATTAGAAATTTTTTTAACATAATGGTAAGATTGTTAGAAAAAATATAGATGAATGGTTTTTTAACCATATGTTACTCCTATCGAAGTTGGACAGAAATGACAATTTTGTATTATTCTTTATACAGAGGGCATGTAATATGTTATAAGACAAAAAAATTGCAACACACTAGTTTTGATGCTTTTCTAGAATTAAAGAAAACAAAATCATCTGTCATTATTGAAGGCAGTGTTAATTGTGTAGTTTTTCATCTTAATTAATCCACTACAAGAGGAGAAAATTGAGAAAAGAAGAGAAATGGATTTACATTTGAATTTAAAAGTTTGTTATTTTTTTGTTAAAAAGGTGGAAGCTTGTTGAGAAAACTTCCTCACTTAATCGTCCATCAAAATATTTTTTATACAACTTTTTTGTTTGTGTTAACATACAATGTGGGTTCTTTTCCACGTACACATCGATTTCGAGTAAACCGATTTCCGTAACTACAAGTCATTGTTTCATATTATGCGGTATTTTCTCAATCTTATGGTTTGGGTTCCGGAAACTATATCAATAATCCTGTAATAGAAATATTTTCACGTTTTTTATCTGCTGAAGCAACATAACTGAAAAAAGAGTAAAAATCATAAGAATGCAAATTAAGGTGTATATTTGATAAAAGAGTCACTAGATGTTCTTGATTCAGATATTGGCCGATATTTTTTCCATACAAGTGTTTTTTTGTTTTCAATGTGCTTGTCATTTTTTTTAGGGCTTAGTCTACATTTATACTCAACCGATTGGCCATTATATACATTTTTTTGTTTTGTTTTATGGATGGACTATATAATTTGTAGCGTGTAGCCCCGTTGCTTTTGATTGTTAGGAGAGATCTGAAAGAGAAACAAATTCAGGGCGGCTAATATATAGATATGGCCACGGCTGCATTGAAATATAAAACACCTAATATTATTATTACACATATATAAACAAGTCAACACAAATTAATTACGAGACTTAACGTGTACGTGCTTGCTTAACGCACATAATAGTTCACGTAGGGCCATATGTAGTTTAATCATCACAATCCAGATCTTCAAATATACATATATATATATATATATCGATTATTATCACGTTTTATAAGATCAGAAGAACAATTATAGTTAAACTCTATATGTACATTATTATATTAACAACTAATATAACTAATGGTCAGTTAATAACGACGCATCACATATCTGTTGTGACCACAGCATGAACAACTAAAACATGCAGTACGTAACACTTTTAGTCAATTGTATATTTAAGAGACCATGCAAATTATTTTTGCCTTGTTTTCGATCGCCAATAGTTCCGTAAGGCAGTAACTCAAAAATCATAAAAATGTACGAGTATTTTGTTATGATAAAAAAAAAGGTGCACGTATTTTAATTGATTTGAAAAAAATTATACATTATTTGTTTGGTATATTTTTGTAGATTGCAATCAACGTTTGGTAGTCCACCGTACATGATTTACACGTGGGTATAGAGAAATCGAATATCTTCTAACATTACATTTAAACGCAAAAGACAATATATATAAAAAATTATGAAATGTAATTTGTGAAACGTTTTTCTTTAAATTAGAATACGTAGTAAATTTGACACGCGCATAAAAAAAAAGTAGCATAATTAAATGATGTATTAAAAAATGAGTTTTATATTAGATACGTAGGCAAAAAGGCGGCTAAGTAGAGAGTAAACGTTTGCTTCCCGCGTTATACAATGCCCTAATTCTCACCATCATCATGCGTGCAAGCTATTTTCCATTTCCTTTAACGATTCTCATTCTTACTCTCTTTAAGCCTCTTCTTTCTTTCCCCTAATCATTTTTTTTTTATTAATTCTTTCTTCTTTTTCTTTCCCATTTCTTGTGTTCTTTTCCCGGAAAATTCTCTCTGTTGTTGCCTCTCCTGATAAGCCCGACCAAGTTTATCCCTTTCTCACTAATCATTTCTTTTTAAACTTCTCTCGATCTCCCTTCAAAACTAACCTTTTTTCTATCTTAGTCTATAGACTCTTCAATCTTGATTTGTACGCATTTCCATGTTAAAGAACTTCTTTGTAACTCATAATTTCAGATTAATCGAATTCGGTGAGGTTCAAAGAGAAAGATGGGAAACCAAACAAGCAAAAAGCCGCAAGAGACATCGACTAAGACCACAACAACGAGCATGCACTACACAACGGAGCTACGATCCTACGAGGCTGCCTGTAAAGCAGACACGGAGCTGCAATCATTCGACACGTGTTTGCAGGCACGGACAAGTCACGTGATAAGCACGCTAGCTACGGGTGTTGAGGTTCGAGCGCTCTCGTTCGATTCCCTGAAAGAAGTGACTGCGTGTTTGCTCGAGATGAATCAAGAAGTGGTGAAAGTGATATTGGATTGTAAG